GGACCCATATATGTTAATGTAACAACCCCATGGCGAGGGGGACTCAAATCAACTTTTTACAGATATAAGTCTCAGAACATCAAAAGATTTCTTTTGCAAGGGAATTTTAAAATGTCGTATTAAATTATTATTTCATACATATTAGTACTCTTATGAATATTTTCTTGTTAGAATGGTTTGATATTTATGGTGTATTGATGATAAAATAATAGTGTATTAATATCAAAATAGTTAATGTTATGGATTCTATTATTAATAATTTATACAAAAATTGATTCAGACTTGGCAAATCATTAGGTTTGTAAAACTATTGGTGGATCTAATTTTTTAATAGATAATTATTATTTCTACAAAAATTATAAAAAGAAGATTCTAGTTAAATTATGATGCTTGTCAAACTATTGGATATCTCATTCTTTAAAAGATAATATTAAAATGTTTAAATGTTCTTTTTATATATAATTAATAGTATGAAGCAGTAGATAAAATATTATACATTTATAAAGTTTACAAAAAACTAATAAAAATAAATATTATAAAAATAAATATTTGGTATTAAATTTGAATGAGTTTTGTAATCAATATTTCATTTCATTGATAAATTAGAAATCATTCATGAAAACCCATTAGTATAGCCAAAGAAAAATTAATATAAATGAATTACGATTTTTGAAGGATATTTACTAACTTTTAAATATGGTAATAATTATTGTTGTTTAAAAGCCCGATTTGGGTCAATTTTTCAATAATATTGTGTAAGCATAGAGATTTGTCAAAAAAGTTATACATTTAGTTTACATTTTCCGAAAAGAATAGTTATATATGAACAGAACTTCATTAAAACACAACACTTTGAATTTTGAATATGATGTTTTATAATATTCTAAATATATTTATAGAGTTTAATATAATATAACAATATCAAATTTCTAGAATACATATTATGATTCAACTATAAGAGATTTGATAGAATTTAAAATCGTATCGTAACATACACTTGGGAGACATCCCACAATTAAGTGAGCACCCCGCCGGCCTATAAAGTGTGTCTCCAATGCAGTGAATTTGCATATACTGTTTGGCAGTAAATTACCCTCAGGGCCCAATAGCATTCATAATAATCTAACTCCATCACATATTATAAAAGCTTTATGTCCATAATGTAAAATTGATAGCTGCTAATTAGAAAGATTGAATATATATAATCATTATATTGTTAAATTCCTGCATTCAAAGTGGTAATCAGCATGATATTTTTATTGTAAAATTGATAGCTGTTAATTTAAAAGATTGAATTTATAAATTCATTATATTGTTAAAGGATTGAAAAAGAAGATGGTGAACAAATGTTATTTTCAGATGATATAATAAAAATATTAATGGATGATCATCAGCTTGTGATACCCAATAGTAGACCCGCTTATTAAGTTATATGGATATTTCTGTTCTCAATTCAGAAACTCTATAGTTGTGAATGGCCGTTTAAGGACTCATAGTGAGAATGGACAAAGAGTCCCCTTTCCTCTATCCCCTCTATTCCCCTCTCCCAGGCAATCCCTCCCAGTTCCTTCTTGAATCCTGTGGCACAGTTGTCTGTTCCATCTACATCAAATCATGATAATATTGCAACATCAAACATTTTTGAGTCTAATATCCCTGATATTCATTTCACCACTTCCTTTATTGATCAATTCCTTGGACTACCCAAACGTTTGGTTTCCAGCCAAGAGAAAGTTGTTTCTACCGATTATTCTCAATGTATTGATAGGCTATTAAACCTCTCTTCCATGGTCAGCCTTTCTTCGGTCACAAATCTTTCCAAATTTCTGCTGGGAATGGCAATTCATTCATTAGGAATATTAGACTAGCATCTTAATATCAATTATGAACCCCATGATATCATAACTCACACCTGCAACAAAAAACAGGATGATTTAAAATTCAAGGTAAGCTAATCGACAATAAAATACACAATCTGAACATAAATGCTGCTCTTTGACTATTCAGCTCCTCTGACACACTTACTCCAGAAAACGCGCAATTATATCAAAGACTACTAGATAAATATCCCCAAAAATCGGAAGCTATGATGATTTGTAAAACCAAGAACCCTTACAATTTTCACTTCGGAAGAAGTATATAAATCTGTGATATCTTTTAAGAAAGACGTGGCCCCTGGATTTGAAGGCATCGAACCTTTATTCTTCAAGATTTAACTACACCCATCCTCAATTCTAACCTATTTATTGAATAAAATAACACAATTATGCAGGTCATCAATGGTGAATTCCCAGATTTGGCAAGGGCCCTCTTTTTTGGAGCCAAACTTGTCGCCCTGATTATGTTCCAAGATTATAGCAAGTAGGATTTCTGCACAGGTTTCTAACATACTTCTTTCACCTCAATTAGGTGTTGGAACGAGCTCAGGATGTGAAGTGGCTGCACATATAAATAGTATTTATGTTCAGAATGCTACAATCGCTAATATCTTATTAAAATCAACTTTAAAAATGCTTAAGTATTCACGGGAAAGTAATCCTTTCACATATCATAACCCAGTTTGTACAAACTATATCCATTCACCCTATAAGAAACCATCCCATTTGGTATTTAGCCATTATATCTTAACTTCCTCTGAAGGTATTCAGCAAGGTGATCCCCTAGGCTCCATATTATTTTGTCTAAGATTTCATCATTTGATTAAAATACATTTAGTATATAGATGATGGGGACATCTCAGGTTATTCAGTGGAGGTGGAAAATGCTAACATTACTAAGGCTTCCACTGATAGCCTCGGACTTATTATCAACCAAACCAAAACCGAATATTGTGAAATCAATACAATTCCATTTAATGTTTATGGCTTTAAATATGTACCCTTAAAATTTTTATCGCATTATCTCTCCCATTGGTGGAGTCAGTTAATTCTTTTTGTTAGTGATATGGACGATATTTTAGAAAATTTAAAACGCATTGTTTTCTGTTTCTCGGCTCACAAGGCCTTTTTTTAATTATTAATTCCTTCAACATCCCTAAAATCTTAACGCCCTCCTATCGAGCCCATTATTTTTAGAGAGAGTGCTTCTAATAAGATCCAAAACCAGAGTAAGTAATTCTTAGTGATTGCTTAAATATTAAGTCTAGAGACATTGCTTGGCATTAAGCCACACTTAATTCCAAACATGGTGGTCTTGGTATAAGATCTCCACTGTCGATCTCAATATGTGAAATCATTGCTAGCCATCTCCAGGCACAAAGATTAATTGACCAACATCTGTTAATTCACGACGATCATTTCTTGAACAGCTATGACGGAATGGGCACCCGTCACAACCATAACCCTATTTCCGATCACTGTAAAACAGAAGGATTTGGATTTACCATTGTGAAAAACTTCTTTGATTACCTTAATTCGTGTCTTTCACCTGCATAATATTTCCTGAATAAAATATTTGTTCAATTATTAAAAATCGAGCCCTTTAACCCTACTAATAAGGCAATGATAGTCTTCGGATAGAATAAACTGATTTTATTTTATTACTTTGTGTTGATAACAAGCTTGGCTGTTACAAAAGTGCAAACATTTTGAAGGATTTAGGGTTTCTAATGAAACAAATTCAACTGACAATTAATTGCCTGATTAATTGAGATGTATAATTTAAATTATTGTCTTTTATTTTTTTAATCCTAATAGATAATAACACTGAATATTTGGGTAAGGCACAAGATTTTATAAAGGAGAGAAATCTACCTTTTGATTTTAAAAGTTCCAAGTTAGAAGAATATATATTTTCATTAAATTAGAATCAAATTTTTGAAGAAAAGTTAGTTTCGAAATATTTATAAGATAGCTAAAACGGGGATGCAATTATTACACATGATCTAGAGGTTAAAGAATCTAAAGATTTGTCTGATTCTAAGAATTCTAAATTTATTTAATTAAAATATTTTTACAAATTACATAATTTAAATTCTACTTCTTTTAATGATGATAATTCTGAAACTTATGATTCAGACTGGAAAAACTATACATTTATTTTACCTTATCGTCTACTTTTAAATACTTCTGCTTTCCCTAATTTAATAATTTTGTATAAATATTTATTACCCATTCCTTATTATCTCATGTACTGCCTTAAGGATCGTAAAATTAAATTAATTAAAACGTGACTTCGTAGCACCACGAAAGATCCAATTCTTAATAATTACCATTTTATCAACGGCAAATTTTTTTTATTTAAACATTTAAATATTGAAGAAATTATATTTTTCTTTCGCTTTCTCTTCCCCTACTATGTCTACATCATTAATTCAAAAATAATATTTTTAAAGTATATATTATATTTATATTATAATACATTAAAGATTGATGCAATAAAATTTATTTTGGAAATTTAATGGGTGTCAAAAAAATAATTAACATCCATCGCTCAGAAAGTGTAAAAGTGTAAGAGCCACTATTATATATTACATCATAAACTACAAATTTGATGGCGATTCTTAATATATTTAAATATTTTTAATTAAGTAAATAAAATATATCGATAAAGGATTCTAAGTGCAAATATATTTATATTTATTAAGTTAATTAAAGATGCTCAATTATCTGATTGCATTCTTTGCTCAGAAACTGGAAAATTATCATTTTCGCGATTTTAGATAAATTGTGTCTATATATTTTTTTTCTTGATTTTTAGGGCATAATCATTATAAATTTAAAGAAACAAAAAGAGGGAAAGGGGGGTGGGTAGTTTTGTTAGAATATTTTTATTTTTTTGCAAAGCTCTGTAAAAAAAAGGTTTAACCTTGTAAACACAATTTGTAAAAAGTTCATAAAAAATATTATTATTTTTGTAACTTAAAAATAAAATTTTTATTACAAAATAAAAATAATTTATACATTATAAATTAAATTTTGGGAAATGATTTTATAACAAAATTTCATTAAATATTTTTCTAAAACTTCCTAATAAAAAAATTTGTTTGAATTATTAATATACTTTTTTTTTTAAAAACAATCAAATTAATTTTATTTAGAAATATAATGTGTAAATTGCTTTTAATATTCTTCATGCCGATGGTTGTGATCTTCTGCGATTATCACGGTAAAAAATCAATTATATTCTTTTATATTTAAATTAAGAGATGGAATGATTTTGCGAAATATTAGATATTAATTACATTATGAAGAAGCAAAAAATTTAACCAATGTTTTATAGAAAATACAGTTTATGGAGTTATTTTTCAACATTATTACTCAAATTTTTCTAGCTCCTGAATTTCTGGATTAAAAATTCTGGCCATTAAATATATATTAATAATTAATAATATATGTATATTTTAATGAAATTTATATTATTTTATCTTTATAGAAATGAGATTTTATTATATTATAGTTTATTTATAAATGTTAAATATAAATAAAAATTTCCTATTCTCTATTGATGGATAAAAATTAATTATTCATTTACTTATTTATATCGTATAATTAGTAATTTTTTAAAAATAAGAAATGGAAGGTAATTTCAAATTAAAATAAGTATATTAAAATATTGGCGATTCAAATTATTATAAATTAACTCATAATTTGAGCTGTTATAAGTGATAGTTTTCGGATAACCACTTGGGTTAGCCAATTTTTGAGCCAGCTAAAAATGGACTCTAACGGCTAAAAAATATACTAATTATGCAACTGTGCACACCAACAAAATAATCTCCTGTGTTGCTTCAGTTTTTCTTGCATCTACACAGCTAAAATGGTTACGAAACGCTGCCAGAATATATCTTCAAAATGAACTTTCAAATGCATACCTTATGAAAATAGACTTTCGCAATGCCCTACATTGCACTCCATAGGAAACATTTTCTTATCGAATTTATTAGAAACTATGCTATTACGTATGTTACTACCAAGATTCTTTCCATCAACAATTTTGGGATCAAACTGTATCTTATCCGCTGAAGGCATTCAACGAGAGGGACCTTAAAGGCCACTTTTATTTTCTCTAGGTCTTGATCATCAATTGCTAGTTCAATCTCCATGTGCGGTAGATGGAACGATACAAATATTGAATCGCCTGTATAAATTTTAGACCATTTTCCTATGAACCTTTAAATTTAATATAATTTATATTATATTTTCCATATTTTTTTAAATATAAATTACAAATGACACAAAGGTTATTAGCAAAATTGTCTACAATTCATAAGATAGGTATTCCAAATATGATGGCTATCTTTCCGGTTCAAACAGATTTTTCAATTTAAAAAAATACATGCTCAAAAAATGACTTGAAGTTGAAAAAAACACATTGATGCTAACATATATAAAAAAAAAAAACTATACCACCTATTAAAATTATATAAAATCTGAATGTTTTCCTGCATTTATTAATAAAATAATATCCACCATTCTATTGATGATTGAAACATTTTCATAAGAATAAAAAAAATATACTGTCTCTCTTTCTCATTATTAATAAATAAGGATACTTTGCTATAAACTGCGTTATATTTACTTTTTAGTCACACTTTATTATTACAATCTTTTTTTTTAAAATTTATCTTTATAATATATTAAATTTTCTTTCATCTGATATCCTGTCGAAAATTTTTGAACATATTTTTTTTATAACTCCCATTACTTCCCTATCCTCATGATCTGGATCCAAGGACATAGAGCGCTGATAAATTTAATTAATATTCTGACAAAATTTAAAAAAATTTCCATACAACCTTTCTTTGAAATAAAAACTCACTTTTTCAAAATTATTCCAAAGTCCAAAACTCATCAAAAATGCCTAAATTTCAAAGTCATATAAATACTGGGCTAAACAATTATTAAAAATTTTAATATCTTTCTAATCGATATTTTAAATAATGTCCTTTAATTATTATAAAAATTAGATTGTTTATTTCTTAAATGAATAAGCATCTCCCATTTTATGGGTTAATACTGTTTTACATGTGGTCGACAAATTGTCAAACTAGACAGGTCAGATTAATGGGTAATAAATAAATACTTTATAAACATTATAGCTAAAAATATCTCAAATATAGTGTCAAATATGTCTTTATTAACAATATCATAGATTTTTTATGTAAAGAATAATTTTTGGCATACCTTTATTGTCTTTAAATAAATATCAGTCATCCTGAGATTTTAAAATTTATATAATGTATTCAATTCCTTGTTAGCTTATATATCCAACGATAAATTGTAATTATTTAAGGAAATTTATTTTGCAAATAATATATAGCATGATTTATAAAAAATATCATATTATTATTATCATATTTAGGTAAAGAGCTTCTCAAAGATTTGTGCGAAGTTAAAAAGGATGGAACGAGTAATATAAAGGACTTCTTTGCTTCTAGAAAGCTTACCAAACTGTAATATATTTATAGAATAATAGAAATTTTTTTTTCAAAAATATACTTAGAATTGTTTTTCAAAATTTATGTGTATATTTTTTAGACCATGTAGTTAAAAAAAAATCATCATTAACTTCTAGATAAATATTGATCTATTTATATAATCCAGCCTATAACTTTAGACTTAATTAGCCTCCATTTACCTAATTGTTCTTTATTTCATTTGATTAGTTTTTTATTTACTATTGCGATTAGCAAAATTATTCGATTCTAAAAAATCTCGAATATGAATAGGAAGAATATATTATCGGTCGAATAATTTTTTTACCTAATTATTCTATCGAATTATTGTAATTATTTTTAATTATTTAAATTTCTCGAAATAATTTGTAAATATTCGAAATTATTATTATTTTATTTTTTTGATATTTATGATAAATATATTTGTGTAAATAGTATTTTATATTACAAAATGTAAGATATTAATTATTTAATATGTCCTTGGTTAGTAATTTTTTATTTTTTACTCTATCATTATTCCATCATCCACAAATCACTTTTTTTAAAATTTTAACATTGCATTTATTTCATTTTTTGAAAATATATTAAAGAATTTGATATTAAAAGTTTATGGTATTTTAAAGATGAAAGTATGATTAAAGAATAGATACATAAAATATATCAAAATATTTTATTATAAGGAATTATGATATAATATTAAATTAACGCAATTATATTCAATTGACAAAAATTAAGTTAAAACTGCTTACACAAATATTTGTTTTGGGTTGACAAAATTTGAGCCATAAAATGTGTAAAGTTATTTATTTCTTATCGATTAACCTTTAATTATTTAAAAGAAAATACTCATTTAATATAAAATATTTTTTTTTATAAAGTAAAAACCAGATTTACTTGAGAAGAGAATGGGACAAGATTGTTTGGAATGCTAATTTTAAGGACATTTTCAAGAATGGAATATTCTTACGCGAATATTATTTAATAATTCTTTGGCTACCTATAAAACCTGAATACCTTAGCGTTGAAAGCGATGTAAACATAATTGATTTATAATCTTTAGGGTGTTTTCTGTTAATCAGAGAAAGGTTTTTTTAAAATCTTCACGGAAAGCCCTGAAAGAACCTTTACATGAAAGTAGTAAAATCTAATTAGAGTTAACCTCTAACAAAATAGAACCTCATATTTAGTTTAACACTGATAGTAACTATAATAAGATTACTCGAAACACATGTTTATATTAAATTCTAACACGAATTTATTACGTATTAAAATATTTAATTAATAAAAGATTCAAAAAAAATATATTCAAGTCAATTATACGCAAATCATAATGAAGTTAAATTTTCCCGAAAAATTTAAAGTTAGATCCAGGGCTTTAAACAGAACCGAATCGCGAAACTTAAACCGTTATAAAGGAAATATAGAAAGAGCGAACCGAATTGTTTGAACCGGTTTTAAAAGGTTCAAAACAGTTTTTTTAAAATAATGAAATTTAAATTATTGGTCTACGTTTGAAATTTTAATTTTCTTTGGTGGCCATTTTAATTCGTGATTTCTTAAATTATAATATTTAACGATTAAATTGCCACTCTCTTCATATCAATCAATACCAATACAAATTTATTATTTAAACTTTATGCACTCAATTGTAATTGAGATTAGGCAAATTACTGCTTAATCAGATAAGAAATAATCTTCATGGTTAAATTAAATAAGGAATTATAACTATAAATTATAATGATTTTTCTCTAAGACTTAATATATATATAATATGTGTGTAGTGTTGTTAATTTGCTTGGTCGTAAAATTTACGACCTTTTTATGTGCTCAGGTTGACCCAAAGTCCAGACCCGGGATTCAGACCAGGGGTCCAGACTCGGGTGACGATTTATTAAACATATTGATTAAATTAAAAATAACACCCATTTTTAAGATAAAAATATTTTGTTTTTAAAAATTAATTAAAATAACACGTTATTTACTTTAAAAAACTAGAAGTTTTAAAAAAATGGAAAATAAAAACTCGAGATAATTTAACTTATAAAAAGTGTAAATTAATTTTATATATTTTGGACAGGAGAAAAAGATACTTTTTTTATAATCCCCCCCCCTCTTTATAAATAAAAACGAATATCTAAAAGTATTCGAAATATTCCAATCAAGCTCAATCTTAAAAAATTCAACATAAAATTGTTATATATTTAGAGATATATATTTAATAAAATTTCCAAGGCCCGAACCGACCTGGCAAAAATTTTTTTTTAAAATTTGGCCCAACTCATCCTGAACCTAATTTTATAGGCCCGGCCCGAAGCTTGGAATTTTGCAGATCTCAATTGTACAGTTATAATTATAAATTGGATGAAAATTATCTTATTTTAATTTTAATGAATAAAGTAAAAATTTGTTTTCAATTATAATGTTAAAAACTTGTATCGTTTCGTAATATCAAAAAAATATTCGTAATATCATCATCATCGCTTCAATAGTATATTTAATCATATTAAAACTGAATATAAAACAAAACAATATTAAACAAAACAATATAATACATAAGCATAATATTATATAATTTTCTAGTGAGGTGTTACGTCATGCATGTAAATATTAAAAATAAATTATTCACAATAATACGACCCGCCTCTGAACCCCGGATCTGGACCCTAAGTCTGGAGTCCGGGTCTGTGCTCGAGGTTCGTGCTCAGAGCTGGTTTGGTCAATATTTTAGACCCAAACCCAGGGTATGGGTTTTACAGAACCAACCAATTAACAACACTATATATATGTATATATGTATATATGGTTTATGATTAATTTTTATAACAAATAAAATTTATATAAACCGAAATGAACCGAAAAGAGTACAAATTCCGAACCGAACCGATATGAATGTCTTCATGAAAACCGAAATGGACCAAAACCTTTATAAAATTTTAAACTAAAACCCGAAACTAACGAACTGCTATACTTAACTATTCGAACCCAGGTTAGATTAGGTTGAAAGATATATCTTATATAATATAGATTGATATAAATATAAAGTGGGAAACGTTATTGAGTATATTTTAATGATTCTACGATTACATTTATTTTTTTAGTTAAGGGTAAATCTTGCTATATCATCTTCTAGTGGATATATATGGAGAATCGATTTTAGTAATCCTGACAGAATCAGTGAAGCATTCGACCTTCCAAATAACATAAAATACGTAATATTAATTATTACTATTTTTTTTTTTTTACTAATACTAAAACATATTTTAAAATTGTTGAAAATGAATAATTCTAACATATTCAGTTTCATCCAACCATATTTATTCTCGTTGTTTTTATCTTTAAGGCAATGGAAATTTAGATAACTTAATATTTATTGTGGAAAAACTAATTTTGGACAAATGGTTATATATTTAAACTAATATTATATCATCTGATAATCCTGAAAATTTCGCATATTTAAAAAGTAGATGTTGTCAGACATCGCTCTGTAGTTTTTATGAAAAAGCTTCTCTGATTAAATAGAATCAATTGATTAGAAACAGATATATATATAGGATAAGGGAGCTAGTTTATTGGTATTATTTTATAATAAAAAAATTATGAAAAGAAAATTAACCTATTTTTTGCGGAATAAAATATTATTATTATTAATTAATATTTATTTGTTGCTGCACAATTTTAGGATGAAGTAGTACAGGATGGTAAAGATATGGTTTTAAAAAAATATGACAAGGATGGAAAAATAGTCAACATCACTAGGTATCCAAATTCACTTATATATGCTGTGAGTAATAATTATAAACTGTCTGGAAAAACTCATAAATTCAAATATGTTCTCAAGACATGTAAAGGTATATTAAAATATATTAATTATATAACTTTACCATTATATATTAATATTAATTCTAGTTTTATATATCGTTGGCCTAGAATTGTAGTGCTCTACTTTATAAAATGAGAAATCAACATTAAAGTTTAAAATAAAATATAGGAAAAATTTATTGATAATTTTTATTTGTCTATATATTTAAAATTAAGTTATTATCCACTTATAACTCAAAAATTTTAAAAATGTCGAGTGGAGCATTCCACTAGACATACGATATATAAAAAAAACTATACTCTCTATTAAAATTATTTAAAGATACAAAAATATTGTAAACAATTAATTCAAAATATGAAAGTTTTCCTGCATATGTTAATATAATAATTTCCATTCTTTTGATGATTAAAACATTTTTATAGAAACAACAATATTTTCTATTTCTCTTTCTCAATATTAATATAATAAAGATATTTTGCTAAATAAACTGCATTATATTTAATTTTTAGTCACACTATATAATATACAAATGTTTTTTTCATTTATCTTTATAAAATATAGGTTAATTATAACGGCTAAGATTTTTTTTATCTGATACCCGTCGAAAGATTTTTTGAGGAAAATTTTATAATATTTGCCGATAACCGATATTTTAAAATGGGTGAATTATTCGATCCGATATAAAATATCGGTACATCCCTACATATTATTATTTTAGTTATTATAATAGTCGGATTTTTTTAAGGCAACACTAGTCCTGACCCAACCTATCAAAGGGTTTAAACAGATTAACCTTTATTTAATCATTTATAAACGCCATCTAAATAACTTTTTAAAAAAAAATTATCTCCTCTTAGTAGCAGGTCGCTTAGCTAAGTTTGACAAAAGCCCGATTCGGGTCTATTTTTAGAAAAGGACTAGATTAAAGAATTTAACCAAAATAATTAAGTAAGCCTGGAATTTTTGTCATAGGTGAAGATTTAGAGCTTTATTTGCAACCTAGATTCTTAGAAAGGGAACCGAAGAATATAGCAAATTAACCGAATAATTGATAAAGAAAGATTTAAAAAATACACCAAGCGGCGATTTTAACAAAAAAAAATTAAAAAATAAAAATATATATATATATTATTGATTTATTTAAACTTGTATGGATAATGGAAAATTCCTTTCATGATTTTGACTACACTGTTATTACAGGTGACTTGGAAAGTGAAATACGATCGATGTCCGGTGGTGGTGGCGAAAGCGAATATGGCTAATATCTATAACACGAAAAAAAAACTATTTATCCGCCAGGAAAAGAAATTAAAAAAAATATTAAATTATCTTTTTTTTTAAAAAATAAAATAATTTTACAAAGATTAAAATTTATTTTAAAGAGTGTCACAATATTTCCCATATGATTACCTTTTTAAAATCATTCGTTTCGCCAATTTTTCTAAAAAAAATAAATCGAGGTGATTTAAATCGCGGATTTTAATTAATCAATCCTATTGGCGATTTATTTTTGTGTCAGTCATAAATAAAGTATAATATACTACTATACATGATTTTAACTCATTACTACTATAAAACGACCAGGAATTTATACACCCCCCCCCAGTAAATTTTACCACTTGTCCCCCCCCCCTCCTCTAACCAAATTTTATTCAAGTGTATATTTGAAAGAAAGAAAGAAAGAAAGAAAGAAAGAAAGAAAGAAAGAAAGAGAACCATTCTGTCGTCTATGAGCAAAATCTTCAGGCACCATAATATTATTCCGGCTAAAAAAAATCTTAACTGGTTCCATTTTCAACCACCCCTAGTACCCTGTTAAACTATTTTGGCGAAAATCGAATTGGCCACTTATAACATTTTATAAAAAATAAATTATTTTTAACGAAATTAAATTTAAAAAGCATGATAAATAATAATGTTATTATAATATAAAATATATATAATTATCGTCAAAATATAAAGTGCTACGTGTGAGTATTAGAAAATAGAAAATAATGCTTTCACATTCAATTTATTATCATTATATTTTAAAGTGGGGGAAGGGGGGGGGGGGGGGGGAGAAGGAATTGTTTATTTAATTTTTATCATATTTTGACAAAAAATAATAATTGAGATTGAAGTGATAATACGGCGCGCAATGTGGTGATTAGCAAACATAAAAAATTTCAATAACAGGACCTGGAAAGATAGATGATCGTAAAGTTTAAAAAAAAGTTTTAGGCCTAATAAATGGTACAAAAAAACCGCAAAATTTTTAGTTTTAAAGCGAGAAGGCATTCATTTTATAGAATTAGTTGTAGAAAGGTTCGGATCCCTTCATTCAAATTATCTTACTTTTTTTCGCGAGTTCAGATTCGAATATTATCTCGAGGATAAATATCGGATCCCTGCGCGGGTAAACTCGGGTAAGCAATCCGTCGAACCCGATAGGATCGGATCTCGGTTTTAAAATATTCGGACCGGGTTGTTATAAAATAATTATTCTTTCTCTCGTACGAATTTAAACACAACTATTTTTATTCCTTCTTTCTTTCCTAATTTCCTTGAGGGCTAAATTTTCCCGCTTCCTTTAAAAATTATCGTATACCATTTTTCCCAACGGTACGGGCTAGGATCTTTGAAAAAAAAACAATATAGATGTAGCTGGGCAATATTTTTCAATTTTTTTTAGCGGATCGGACAGGGCCTAGTAAACGCTATGACTGGCGCAAATAGGATTCTTAAAAAAAATCTAATAGTGCGAACAAATTGTGCGTTTCAAACCCCGCGCTGCGAGCCCCAATAATGCCTCTCAAATGGCCTTGTGCAAATTGGCAAAATTACCGTTTGGCGTTAGCAACCATTTTAAAAAAAAGGCAAAACAGGTTTGCTTTTTCAATACTTTTTTTTTATTCTTCGTTTTGTAATATTATATATAAAATGTAATATAAAATAACTTACTTAAAATCCTAAAAAAAAAGGGAATATTTTAGAAAATTAAAGGAATTAGAACGCAGACGATAATATAATTTTTCAAAAGACAAATCCTTTTTATTTTAAAGATACTTATTTAAAATTCTGAATCGACGGATATGAATAAAAAAAAGGGCAACCTCAATTGAAACAAAGAGACGCGTTATGTTTTTTTTTAATTTAAAAATTACGGCAAAACGTAAACGCTCAATTTGTGCGCGCTAAAATAAAATGAGTGCTAGCTACAACTTTGACCATCTCTATCGTGGTTTACTAAAACTTTTAGCCAAAAAAAATTTGAATTAAGCCTATGAGTATCAACTTAGAGATTGATTCGAATATTTTTTGGATAAAAGTTTGGCTACGCTGTTTTATAGTTGACTAAGTGTGTTAGGTAGTTTAACAACAACTAAAAAAAATCTTTCGATTTCGAAATTTAAAAATCCAATATTTAAAAATGAGAGATATCCCAAATTATAATGGAAAATCGATTTTTGGGAAAAGGAATGGGGGAGGGGGAGAACCAACCCCGTGTTTATTATAATTTTTTAAAAAAAATAATTAGCAAGTAAAATTGTCCAGTAAAAACGAAAAAATGGGGAAGTTGATTTTCATCGAAAAAAATATATAAATAATATTAATAAATGAATTAATTTTGCCGAATGCCTTTTCAGAATTCAGAAATTAAAGATAATCATGATTAATGATTGTTTTAACCTTTTTATATTCGCATAATTCGCGTTTTAATGGAATGGATTTGGCAAAAAATAACATTATTTTATATTAAAAAAAATTTTTAAAAAAAATTTTTAAAAAAAACTATGCGAGTGTGATGAGACATGAAAGTCTTGATAAATTTTTATCAGATGTAAAATATTAGATTTAAAAAAAATTCTTAATTTTGTCGAGATGCGATGGGGTGGAGGAGAGGTAATCGTCTCCCCCCTTTTTTTTACTCGATTACAAAAACCACCAAATCGAATTTATTTTATCCGAATATTATCATCACAGCCGCTTAAAGATTCCTCCGAAAGTTTGATGATAATCAAAACAAAGTTGACAGTTTTCCTATACCAGACATACGATTAAGAAGTATATTATTTATATTCCGGAATAAGATAAAAATTTAGAGTGAGTTTGAACAAAATTCTCACAAATTTCGTAAATATATTTACTATATCGGAGGGAATTAAGAATCAGGATAGCATTAAAGAAGGATGCTCCTCAGCGCTTACAAAATGATTAAGCATAAGTATTATGAGCAATTAGAGTTATCCCTTTAAGAATCGATTAGAGTAGAGAAAAAAAGAAATTTTAAATCATTGTGACGCAATGCATTTGCCGGGAATTTTTTTAACTTAGTGAATAATTATTATAATGCAGTAATTTGTTTCCTGCAGACTCTTTGCACACATATGGCAGTAATAGAAAAAAGTATCAAAATGGAGGATAAAAAGTGGTGATGCACCAAGGAAAGAATTCGAGATGCCTTTATAAGAAACCAAAAATATCAAAAACGGAGGATAAAATGGAAATGCACTGATACAAATGGAATTAGTCGGTCTTGGTATTGGCCAATACTTTCAATCATAACTGATACCAGATATTCATATTTTTTATGCTACATTATTATTTTATTGGTAGATGTAGTATTTGAATTTGGTTGAGATAATATTAAAAGTAATAATGGAAGGTATCATAAAAAAATATAAAATGCATCCAAACTATAAAAAAAATGGAGAACTTTTTCTTGAAAATAAGAAATAAATTTGTCGATACTCAACAAACTCATTAATACCCTGGTTAATTTAGCTTCATGAAAACTTTTTATTTTAAGCATTAAAGAAAGGAAGAATGTAACTCAGTCCTTGAGTAACAATATAAACTCCTATTTGAGCCTATTGGATAGAAGAATGGTATTGGTATAGTTATGAAGTCATTGACCTGAAACGAATGCGATTGTCCGGTGAATCTCAAAAATTTCTAGCATTAGATAGATTGGTCCACTGTGAGAGCGAGTTTTTGCTAATGTTTTTAAGAAGTTCGACATGTTCCATAAACTCTAAAGTGTTTGAAACAAATTATGTAAGATATTTTCTAAGAAGATATCAGATTTATTTCATTTTAAAGTTTTTGCCCTTGCAATTGTTAAGTAGTAATGGCTGTTAGATTTGAAAAAAATTAGGGTTTTTATTTAAGGTAATACAGTTATCACATGATTACCATGATGGTTATGGGGTTATTGTCAGACTAAAGCCCTATTGGATTAAAAGGTGAATAGGTGATGGCATGAATATCTACATATAAGGTGTCTCTCATAATGAAACTGGAAAGGTGCATATTAATAAGTTTTAGACCTCAGAGAATTGTGCATAGGCCAGGATCACTTAGTTTGGAGATGAAATGGCAAAGTATCTTCTGCAAAAGAGAAAAAATAAACAAGTATTTGTAATTGTAACTAATTATATATATAATAAAAGAAAAATTTAATTCCTAAAAACATACACCTCACCCTTTAATATCAACATAATGCTTATAAATGATTAACATGTAAGAGAGGATGGGGGGGGGGGGGGTATTTATTTTCTCAGAGTATAATTTTTATATAAAAATGTTGTTTTTTTGAAATCAATAATTTGGTTGATATTAGATAACTAATATGATTATATGGGGTTTAATTATGATTTATAAAAATTTTAAAAAGGATATTAGTTTGTTTAAAATAAAACATTTAATTGCAAATTTTTCTAAGCAAATCTAAATAAAAATTCTTTTAATATACAATGTAGTTTATAAAAAACATTTCTATATTTTTTTAAACATATTTGCAAATAAGATGACTTAACTTGTAATGGGAAAATATTTAATTTGGATATAAATAAACTGAATTTTTTATTTTCCCCTATTAGACTAAGAATGCACCAGTGTTCTAGCATTTGAAAAATTAAACATTTAATAAAATATATCATATTTCTTTATTACTTTAAAATATGAAATTCAGTATTAATATGGGCAGACGATCAATTTTTCAATGCATAAAAGCTTATGTTATCTAAATATTTGGAATGAATTTTGCAGCACTTGATTTTTGGCTTGCTCATTATTTAATTTGAATGCACAAGCACTCTAATATCACCTTAGCCTTAAATAATAAGTCATTTAATTCTAATATTATATCATTAACATATATAAGCTGAAGTTCATATATAAATATTTTAATACAAAGTTATAATAAAAAAGTTATATTTTTGATATTATTTTGTTAAAAAGTATACTAAATTTATATGAACTTCAAAATGAATGTTATAAGTAAATATTATATTTCTATAAAATGGTGAATAAATAATTTATGAGAAAAATTCAGTTACATATAGAAATAAACTTTGGGATTATAGGTTTAAATCACAATGCATATAATAGAAAATAAATAGATAACTAAAATATAAACAGGTGTTATAACTTACAATTTGTATCAATTTTATAAAGCCCCTAGGTTCTCTAAGACTTGTGAGATTCCTTTGATTCATAACTTGCACCAACTAAAATATATTTTTAAAATCAGTCAAATGAAATAATGTAAAAAGTAAAACTATCTTTAAATCATAAGTCACTTAAACAAATGAAAAGATTAAATTTTTTAATTGTGAATAAAATAATTTTTAAATAAAAACAAAAAAAAATGACATAACAGTTCGTGGTTGTCTTTCAATTTCTAATAATGCAACAGTTCTAATTTGAAGGTTGTCCTAGTCAACCATAATAAAAGATATATTTTGTAAAACTCAAATTATTAGGGAATGTTATTTAATTATTATAACAAAAATGATCATCTTTTACGTACTTTTGAGGTATCCATGGTTAATAAAAAAAATATATACAGAAATTAAAAAGAATAGTTTATCGATTTTTCAGAATGTCCGTTTGATTTTAACCGAACATGAAGATGATAAATTATAAATTTATTTACATAATGAATTATCAATTTTTTTAAAATAAGTTATATAGTGTCAAAATCTTAAGTCTAATAATACATCAATTCTGAATTTTTATAAAATATTATATATTGTGCCTGGCGATAAAACTCTAGATTTCAATTCAACAAAAATTATGTTTGCAAAGGTATAAAAAAGGTAAACAAGTATACTCCACAGTTCATACAAATTGTCAAGCTAAAATATAAGAACAAATAAGGTATTTACCTTATTTTTATAAACCTTATACCATTTTACTAATATGAGTGAGGAAAAAAAGATAAAGATAATCGTTTAAAGGGTAATTGCCCTTTTTAAAATGGGAACTTAAATTGCAATGTAGCAATATACCTAGTAAAAAAGCCTAATATAAATTTAATGCTTAATGATATATAGCGGTTTTTATTAAGATTAAACAGTATTTCTCCAGTATTGGAATACATAATTATTATCATCTTGCGGGTGTCATTCTATTTTTTTATAAAAAATATTATTTTAATTTTTAAAATTATTTGCCTTATAATCTTGGATGATATCTATTTTCCCAGCTGATTAATTAATATAATTTAAAATTATTTAAATAAAGGTACACCTAATTCCTCAATCTCAATGTTAAATAAACCGTAAGCTATTATTAATTGGTTTTTTTTATAATTTCAAATTGTTTTCTTCTTCCAAATCATCAAAATCATAACTCTATTGAAAATTACAAAAGGGTTCGTTTATAATAATATTTTTCTCGAGATTTTGTTACTAAATCATGCACTCTGAGCAAAATCTCCAGAGATTGCATTGACTAAAATATTTGGTTAGCCATTATTAAAAATCGAGCCGTTTAACTATACTAATTTAGGCCGTGCTAACATTTTAGACACTTAGTATCCCCAATTTGACTGAGCCCCAGCGTCTACATGAGCGGAAGGGGTAGGAACAGTTTGCATCTTATTTTTATGAAGGGGTAGAGGGTAAGCTGCTTTAATGGGGGTAGGACAAATTTTTTTGGGGGTTATCTATTAAATTTTGTGATGAAATAAGACAAAATTTATAGCTGTAAAAATTAATACTTTTATTATAATATTATTATAATACAATTCATCGACCAAATCTATATATTACAAACAATCATACACATTGTTTTCCAAATAAACTATCCTTTTAAATGTAATTTAAAAGGTTTAGATATTTCAGCAAGCTCATTATGCCATAATAATTAATTCATTGTAAATAATGTAGGTTTTATTTGAATTTATTGTCTAAAAAATAAATTCTTTATATTCACAAAATACGATAGTTGGTAGTAGAGATAGATTAATTTAAGTTATTCTTTATAAATTCTTTGAAAAGAGTATCAATAAATAAATAGGTGAAAATAATAATAAAACCGCCGCCGAAGGCGGTGTAAATTTTTTAGGGGTAGACAAAGGTTTTTGAAGGGGGTTTGCATCCAGTGAAAATCCTGTCATGTAGACGCTGCTGAGCCCTAAGAATAGGCAATAAAAAATCAAATAATTTACAAATTAAACAAATCCAAATAATGATTTTGTTCATATTATAATAATTATTAAATTCAGGCGCGTAGCCAGGAATTTTTTACGAAAGGGGGGAGGGGTAATTTTCTAAAATTTATTTTTGATAATATGCTAATGTCGAACACAAATAATAAAAAGTGAAAACAAATATTAAGAGCGAATATACGGTTTAAAAAAATCATACCTATATAAACCGGTAAATCACAAAGTAAGTCAAAATATCGTTCACAAATGAAATTTTAATTTTTTTTGCAATTGCGCCAGTTTTTAATAATTTGTTTTATGTTGAGGGATTAGATCTAAATGAGTAAGCTAGCCTATTCAATCAATTTTAAGATGTCATACTTTTGATCTTTTGATATACATTTTTATTCTCTGTTGACGAAAAGGCCCGTATTGTGCTTGTACTAACTGGTATCATTGCCAAAAATTTACAGTAATTATAATATATTTGGAAGACTTATAATATACAGGCGCGTGACCAATGGGGGGAAAGGGGGAAATTTCTCCCCCCCATTGCAAATTTGACTATTTTCATAAATATCATTTTAAGCTAATAAAAATTTTACCCCCACCCCCCCCCTCTTACCAATCAAAATTTTACAAATATTTGAATATCAATTTTCCAACATATTATTCAAAAATTTAATAAAATGGAAAAATATTTAGTCAATGAGATTGAAATCAATAATTTATAAATAAGGCTGAGCATGAAAAAAAGTAATGTGTCGTCAGAAGCGATATCATTATTAAATTCAATTGATCAATCAGAGTTTATCATTGCTGCTAGTTGCATCAATAAATTATTTTTAACTCACTACTTTGTAGAAATTTACAAAAACCAAATTTAGATTTGGTTCAGGTTATTGATTTGGCTGAAAATATACATGAACAGGTAGATACAATAAGAATGAATGTAGATAAATATTTTCATAATATTTATCTAGACGTTGAATCGAAGGCAAATTTTATGATATAACACTAATTAACCCTCGTCTAGCACCTAGGCCATTATTGAGATGTAAATAAATATTGGCTCAACTGAAGAATTAAAATATCCATTTTCATCCCATTCTTAGATACTCTTTTATTGCAAATAAAAGTACGGGTTTTAGATAAAAAATAAGTCTTTAGCAATCTTCAAGTTTTATTACCCAAAGATCCTTCTTCATTTTCTAATGGCACTATTGGTATAATTAAATATTTAAAAAAATTTCATTCCTATGAGATTGATACTGAAATAAATTTAATCAGTGAATTCGAATTGTGGTATAAATATTTATACGTTTAGCTATTTTATCTGAGCATGCTATTGATGCGCTCAATCGGTGTAAAGAAACCTTAGCTCAATTTCCTAATATTTCGAAGTTGTTTTATATTCTTGCATGTTTGCCTATTACAACATGTACGAATGAAAGGATTTCCAACTTGAGAGGGTTGAAAACTTATTTACTTCCAACTTGAGAAGGTTGAAAACTTATTTACTAAGTACTGAATCTCGGCTAAATGGGTTAGCTCTGTTAAATATACACAAAGATTTGGTTCCAACGACAAACGAAATAATTAAAAATCTTGTATTGATAAAAAGTTAAAAAAACTTGTTAATTTAATTATTTTCTAGTCAATATTTTAAACACACTACTATTAGTATTTTCAATAAAAAAATTATATTCTACTTATATTGTATGAGAATTTAAGCTGAGGCTAGTTTTTAAAGCAAATTTTATAAAAAAAATGACATTACACTTTATTTCAACTTTACATTTAAAAAAACTTTATTAAATATAATATACCTAACTTGAAATAATAAAAAAGAGGCTTGTAATATCCTATCCATAAGCACGAATTAGTAAATAATATTAAAAATAGAAATATAATTATTATTAAATTATCAATAATTTTATAGAATAGCTAAATTAGACCCGGCCGAAGGCCGGGGAAAGCTGGCCGAAGGCCAGGTAAAAGGGGTTTGGGGACTTCGCCCCCAAAAATTTTTTCCCCCCTATAAGAAAATCCTGGATACGCCACTGATAATATATATTTTAAAGTAAACAATGCTTTCATTATAATTTTTGGAGGATTATCTATAGAATAAATCTTTCATACCATTTAAATTCTGAAATTAATAGACCTTCATATACATTTGTATCCGATGATTAAAATTTAGCTAAATATTTATTTTTTTTCAATATAAAGATTTGATATCTAAGATCAGAGGGAGTTATAAGATTTAGTATTTGTAAATTAGTTAGAACCATTTGATAAATCACAAATTATTTATTTATTTGAGTAATAAATCCAGGAATGGAATGAAAGCAGTTATTTGATAATAATCTTCAATTGAGCCCATGTTAATATTGGAAAGATTTGTTTGTCGGTGAAAGTCGAAGCTTGTGAATCTCAAAGTCATGTAATTTCGTTTTCACCTCTACAATCACATAAATCTCAATAAATTCCTGGTAGATATTATCTCTTGGTCTTCTAAGTGGTCTTCTAAGTGGTCTTCTAAGTGGTCTTCTAAGTGGTCTTCTAAGTGGTCTTCTAATTGTAATATAATATTCGCGATTCTCATAAATAGTTTTGTTAAACGGCTAATTTTGAGCCAATTTTTTATGACGGCTAACTCAATATTTTAGCCAGAAAAATATTGTCTAAACCTCGAGATTTCGATAATTTAGCTGACCATTGTTGTTTATATGAGCAAATTCTTCAGGTTTGCATAATATTTTCTGGATGAAATATTAAAAAAATCAGCTCAAAACTAGCCGTTTAACAACACTACTCTTAAATTCAACCAAATCCATTTCTTTTTTTGAAAAATATTGCGCGAAATTTTTTTTAAAAAATCGGCAGTCATATTAAATTTAATAATGTATCACTTTCAAATGTAATATCTGTTTCAAAAGATTCTAATATTTGTCCAAGGGAATACAAAATAGGCACTTCTAGATCCAAAAAATGGTGTAACAGCTAGATATCGGAGACTCCATATTGTCGCGCAGAAATTTTGCAGTTTTTTTTTTCCTGTTGCACAAGAAGTCTCAGAAATAAGTATATTAGGCAAATTCTATCCATTTGGATATTCGAATATTTTATACCATCTTAGAAATTATTTTTTAATCATAGTTATTAGTAGGAGTAAATTAAATAGAATTTATTTTTTTGGTAGATAAGAATTTTCTTATATTCATCAGTGTTTAAGGTTTTTCGTGAGAATAAAATATTAATATACATATATATATATATATACAAAGAAATAAATATTTAAATAAATTTTAACTTTTTTTTTGCGAATATATACAAAACGCAAACGTACTCTTTAAACGAATGCAATTAAAATGCATTATTTGCGTTTTGAAACGCAACGTTGAAAAGTTCAATTTGTGCGCACTATAACTCATTATTCCATCCAGAAAAATATTACGCAAGTCTGAAGATTTTG